AAAAACATCTTGGATTGACCCTATCAAGCCATCCTTTTGTAAGTAACAAATCGTACCTCGGCCTTTGACCTCCACTTTTGATGCATCTCCAAAAGACACATGACCATCTTCAATCTTTTTCATCTCTTTGAATAGGTACTTGTGACCACACATATGGTTGCTTGCGCCCGAGTCGAGGTACCACAGAGTGTCATTGTTGATGTTAAATTCATTTTGAGCCATCAAAAGAAAGCCTTCATTCGCTTCATCTTCCAAGGCTAGGTTGATTGTTTCTTCCACCTTTTTATCGGCTCGACAATCTTTTGCAAAATGCCCCACTTTACCACAGTTATAACATTTGTCAGAGTTGCAATCCTTCGCGTAGTGACCATACTTGTAACACTTGTAGCACTCGATATTGGAATAATTTGATCGGCCGCCTCTTCCTCGTCCGCGTCCTCTTCCACGCCAATTTGGTTGGCTTGACTGTCCATTCTCCTTATAGTACCCTTCATGACTGTCGCCTTGACCACCGCGACCATATCCACGACCTCCACGGCCACGACCTTTACCTCGAAAATTTTGAGAATAAAATACCTTTTCGTCTTTGATTAACGCCTTGGTTTGAAGTGCTTGCTCAAGTGTCTCCTCCTTCTTTTTCTTTTTACGTTGTTCGTGTGCCTCGAGTGAACCAGTAAGCTCGTTGACTGTGAGTGTCGCAAGGTCTTTTGACTCTTCTATTGCGCACACAACATTCTCAAAATTGTCGGTTAATGATCTCAAAATCTTCTCCACAACTCGTGCCTCGGTTAACGCTTCGCCATTACGATTGAGTTGGTTCACCACGGTTTGTACACGTGTGATGTAGTCGGATACACTTTCCAACTCCTTCATCTTTATGCTTTCCAACTCGCCACGAAGAGTTTGGAGACGCACTTGCTTGACTCGGTCGGCTCCTTTGAACACTTTTCCTAAAATGTCCCACGCTTCTTTTGAAGTAGCTGCACCAGCAATCTTCTCAAAGCCCGACTCGTCAACGGCTCGGAATAACATGTATAGTGCCGCCTTATCCTTCGATCGCGCCTCTTTCAACGCCTTGGTTTGAGCCGCCGTATATCCCGTGGTTGTTGTTGGTTCTTCGAAACCTTCTTCGACCACCTCCCATGCATCTTGAGATCCGAGAAGAGCTTTCATTTGAATGCTCCAGTTCTTGTAGTTCGCCTTCGTTAGTCGTGGTAGCGACATTTGACCCGTCACATTTGCCATTGACTCTGATGCCAATTTGAAAAATAGAAAACAAATTAACCCACAACTACTATACTATTTTCCAAGTGATTTTGTATTTCTTTTGTTGTATATAAATGAAATCAACAAGGTCCTTTATATAGGCACTAGGTACTACTCTTCCAAAAAACAAAGAATAAATTCTATTAAAACTCATAAAAGACAATTAACTCCTATATCACCCCTTGGCCTTTCACCTACTAAAACTCATAGACCTTTTATTTTCCCATTAACTTCTAAATTTAAAGAAAAACATTAAGGATTACATTTAAGTTTATTCAACATACCTCTCAAAACGCCTCTACTGTGTTTATTAGTCCGAATTTTCACAATATTCAACATATTCCTAAGCATGATATTGTTAAGCTTACTGAAAATACTTACCTCCGTTGGAAACATCAAGTGTCCTTGTCTCCTCAATAATCGATGGATATGGTCTGGTGAAGTTTATTTCTAATTCTAATAGTGTGCCTAGTGAGTTTGTTACCGATAGTGATGGACAGCTTGTGGATAATCCTTCTTTTATGCTTTATAGGTAGCAAGACAAGTTGTTAGCTTCATGGCTCTTAATTACGGTAAGTGCGGATGTCTTACCTCATCTTACGAGTCTTACTACGACTATTGTTATTTGGAATGCTATCTCAAGATTATTTGGAGCGAGATCTAGTGCCAAGATATCATCTCTTAAGCATAGTCTTCACTCTCAAAGGAAGTCTGGCATATCTATTAGTGAGTGCTTGGCTAAAATCAAATCTGTTTGTGATATGTTGAATGCTTCCAGGAGCATAGTTACTGAGCAAGAGCATGTTAGTGTGGTTTTGGCAGACCTGTCGGTGGAGTTTGAATATGTCATTGCTATATCTTCTCGGGAGGTGTTATCCTTAGACACTCTCAGTAAGATTTTATTGGATTGTGAGGCTAGGCAAAAGTTGTTCTTAAGGGAAGGGATTTCAGCCAACTTGGCTGTTTGTTTGAGTGAGAAGTCTACTGATGATCCCGTTGTCAAAGGTTCTCATGAACGTAATCAGTCTCAAGAGCAGACGTTTCATGTTCGGGGACAGCAACAAGGTAGTGGTTATCGAGGGCGAGGTCGTGGTAGGAGCTATAATTTGACCAGGCCTCAATTTCAATTGTGTGGTAAGTTTGGGCATGTTGTGCAGAAGTGTTATCACATATTTGATAGGGATTATGTGAGTGTGAATGGAAATACTACTCAGGCGGGTGAGTATTCAAAGATGCCTAGTAGTTCTTTGTTTAAGCAGCAACAGTCTCAATCTTGTGCACAGGCTTACACATCGGTGCCTTCTTTTCCACATTCTGTGTTTGGTTCTATGCAGTCTCCAGTTTTGTATATAGTTACTTCGATGTTTTCTGGTATGCGTTCAATTTATCAGCCCTTGCCATCTTTTCGCTTATTATTCGATACCTGGTGTTCCTGTTGATTTTTCATCCATGGATTCTCGGTTTAGTTCCACGGTTGGTCATAATCCTTTTCTGACCTCAGCGCCTGCCCCAACTTCTTGTGTTTCCACATTGTCATCTTCTTCCACTCCTCTTTCGGCGATGTCTGCAGCACCGTCCGTTTGGTATCCAGATACTAGTGCCCCGCATCACGTGACGAATGATCCTAGTATGTTCAACTCAGGTACTGTTTATACATGAGGTAGTAATTTTTGGGCAATGGTGTCGGTGTTAAGATTGCTTATGTAGGGCAGAGCTTTTTGAATTCTAGTGCTATAAAGAAGAAGTTGCTCTTTATATCTAAGTTTACTCGTGATAATGATGTTTTTATGGAGTTTTATCCTTGTGAATGTTTTGTGAAGGATGCCCAAACTCAGACTATTCTACATAAAGGGAGGCTCACGGATGATGGTCTCTATCAGCTGCTGCCATATGATGAAAAGGAGTCTTGTTTCCAGCTGAACACTATGTCCAAGTCTAAAGAGTCTTTGAAGCTATGGAACATACGTTTGGGTCAAGCTTCTCTTGAGGTGGTGAAGTCAGTCATGAGGAATTGTAATGTTGCTTATAGTGAGAATAAGTTGTCATACGTGTGTACTGCATGTATGCAAGGAATGGCTCATCTTTTGCCTTTTTTGTAACTCTTTGACTCTTTTCAAATTGGTTGTTTCAGATGTGTGGGGGCCAGCACCCATTACTTCCTCGGATGATTTCTCATATTATGTCTTTTTTGTTGATGTTTTCAGTAGACATACTTGGGTGTATTTACTCGAGCGAAAATTTGAAGTAATGCGATGTTTTTTGAATTTTTTCAAGATGGTTGAAGTGCAATTCGGGTGTAAGGTTAAGGCCCTTCAAACCGATGATGAAGGTGAATATCAAGCGTTAAAAGGTTGGTTTCTTGCTAATGGAATTCAACACCGAATTTCATGTCCGAGCACTTCTGAACAAAATGGCAGGGCTGAACGAAAACATAGGCATATTGTTGATATGGGATTGGCTATGATGGCTCAAGCTTCTCTTCCTTTAAAGTTTTGGTGTCATGCCTTTGTGTCTGCTGTTTACTTGATTAATAGTTTACCCACAAGGGTGTTAGATGGAAAAACACTTTTTGAAACTCTTTATCAAAGACTTCCAGATTACTCTTTCATGAAGGTGTTTGGGTATGCTTGTTTCCCTTATCTAAGACCATTTAATCAGCATAAGATGGAATACAGGTCCAAGAAATGTGTGATTCTTGGTTACATTCCTTCTCACAAAGGGTACAAATGTTTGGATGATAGAGGTAAGGTTGTTATTTCGAGGCATGTAGTTTTTGACGAGAATACTTTTCCTTATGAGGTATGTAAGGTTGGCTGCAAGTCTGGCCATGCAAGTCTTGATTGTGCCAGTTCTATGTCACAAGGAGTGTTACCTGTTGTTGCCTCTCCAGCAACAGTCTCAGCACCTGGAGTAGTCGAGTCTTCTACAAGAGTTAATCCCGAGTCCGTTCTTTTTCTTGAAACAGCTGATCGATTACATGAAGCAGCTGTGGATGTTTCTCGGTCACCGGTTGAGTGTGAGGGTGTTCTATTTTCGCCTATAAGTGCTCGCACGGGTGTTGAATCTGCTCCTAACTCTACTTTAAGGCTGTCCACTGGTTCTGATCCTTTGCAAACTGGAGTGCTTGAACAATTTCAGTCCGAGCCTACATTAAGTGACCAACCTCAGCATGTCCCTGCGTTAGGTCAATCTTTGCTTGGTGATTGTGGTCCACTAGTTGTTGTTGATGGTGATGTTGGAGGCTGTTTTTCACCTGCTCCTGATTCTTTTGTTCATGATCAGTCGGTGGTTGGTGGAAATGATTTATTTGAGGATAATGGTCCACAAGTGGCTGTTCCAAGTGCTACAAATATTCATCCCATGCAGACTAGGGGTAAAAGTAGGATAAGGAAAGCTAAAATTTTCCAAGTTGCTTGTGTTGACAAGGAACCTACTATTATCATAGAAGCCATGATGAGTCCTTCTTGGAAGGCTGCAGCATAAGAGGAATATGATGCTTTGGTCAAAAACAATATTTGGACACCGACTCCTTTTCCTGTTAACAGGAAAGCTGTTAGTTGTAAATGGATTTTTAAAATCAAACAAAATGAAAACGGTTCCATATCCAGCTACAATGCTCATATTGTAGCAAAAGGTTTTCTTCAACAGCTTGGTATTGATTTCCACGAGGTTTTTAGTCCAGTAGTTAAACCGATAACTGTTTGAGTGATACTTTCACTTGCTCTTGCGAAAAGATGGCTGTTGAGGCAGGTGGACATTAAAAATGCCTTTTTAAATGGTGTTCTATCTGAGGAGGTGTATATGATGCAACCTTTGGGATATGAGCAAGGAGATGGTAGATTAGAGTGTGAACTAAATAAAGCAATCATGGCCTAAAGCAGACGCCTCGAGCGTGGTTTTAAAGGCTGAAGGGTTATTTGGTGTCTGAAAATTTTGTGTCCGCAAGGTCAGATTCATCTCTTTTTGTCAAGAAGATTGAGGATCGTGTGATCTATTTGTTGGTCTACATCGATGACATTATTCTCACTAGCAGTTGTGCTGATAAAGTTCATACTGTTATCAATAAACTGAATACACAATTCTCTTTAAAAGATCTTGTTCCCTTAATTTTTTTTCTTAGGGATTGAAGTTTGTTATGGGACTGATGGTTTGATTTTAAGTCAACAAAAATATATTCATGAGTTGCTGCAAAGGAGTGGTTTCGAATGGGTCAAGGGTCTTCCTACTCCTATGGTAGCAAGTTGTAGGTTGTTTACTAGTGAAGGCACACCTATTAGCAATGTTGTTCAGTACAGAAATATTGTTAGAGCTTTACAATACATAGTGATTACTCGACCAGACATAGCCTTTGCTGTGAATAGGGTGTGTCAATTCATGTAGGCACCTCGCGTTGTTTATTTTCAAGCTGTAAAGAGAATTTTGCGATATTTGCAAGGGTCAATTGATTATGGTTTGAAGTTCACTCCTTCTCGATTGTCCTTGACCAGGTTTGTTGATGCAAACTGGGGACCTGACGTGGATGATAGGCAGTCCACTTCAAGTTTTTGTATCTTTTTTGGGGGTAATTTGGTGTCTTGGAGCTCTCACAAGCAACAAGTTGTGGCACGCTCCACTGCCCGAATACAGGAGTGTCACCTCCGCAGCTACTGAAATAGCCTGGATTGAGTCTCTACTCCAGGAGTTACATGTTGTTTCTCAGAGTTACATGTTGTTTCTCATGGGAGGCCCACCTTGTGGTGTGATAACATAAGCGCTGTGGCAGTTTATGCTAATCTCGTTCTTCGTTCGAAGTTTAAACATGTTGAACTTGACTTGTTTTTTTGTTTGCGAGATGGTTGCTGCTGGGAAGCTTCAAGTGCATGAAGTTCCAGCTTATGAACAGGCACCTGATGTTTTTATCAAACCCTTGTCTTCACCTTTGTTTCTTAAGCACAAGCAGAAGATGTTGGTCAGACATTGGACGTGCACAAGGCTGGTTCAGACGAGTTGAACAGGCGAGGGAATGTTGAAGGTGTAGAATGTAAGGGAAATGTTAGTATATAATATTTTGTGTTTGTTTTCTACTGCATGCATTGTTTTACTGTTTGTATTTGAATTGTTACTGTTGTTATTTCTAGTGTAGTGACTGTCATGACTTGGTAACGAATCTGTTAGGGTTTCTGTTAGCTTACACTTTTGCTAGTTGTGCTCAGCAGTCCTTTTAAACTTCTGTATAAATTGCTGGTCTCTTGTTGAGACAAATTTTACAGCTGATTAATAAAGTGGCAGAGAGTATTGGTTCTCTTTCTTCCTCCCGTCTTCTTTTTTGTTTTTAGTATAGCTAGAGTGTTATCTTTGCATAACCCACTATGAGTATGTTTCTTGGATTATTGTGTAATAGTTACAACATTACTCATGATGAAAAGCATTTATACGATCCATCATTATCCCAATATTATGAGTTGCATATTTTGATACAATCAAACGTTTGCTATATATGATAATACTATAGAGATTGATGTTGGATATACCACGTTATATATAGTGAGATATGATTTGTCTCTCATAAATAATGAGAACAAAATTTTTGGTCAATTGATTGAGTGACTAAAAATGCATGGTCAAACTCAAATAAGTTGATACGAGATATCACATTTGTTTATTTATTATAGTCTACTTGAGATATTAAGAAACATGAGATGCGCGATACAAGTGTGAATATTTTATAATTTTGTGTTAAATCTATATATTAAGGGAAAAATACATGATACGAAAAGATTAACCAAACAAATGTTGTATTGAATCATGATTTCTTGTAACTTAAGTAGTAACGATGCTTTGCTAGATACCCCTCGTGTAATATTAGAATTGTTCTAATATTAATTCTAACATTACAAGAACCTTCATAGTTAAATCTGGAAGTGAATGAAATTCAAACACAATTTATATTGTATTTATTTGTCACATAGATTAAATTGATTATTGATTTAATTTAATTTAATTTGACAGTTTAATATTAAACAAATTAAATATACAAGTTTGTTCTACACATAGAAAATATAGCTAAAATCAATATATAAAATTGATTCATATAAAATTTTAATAAAATATGATTTCATAAAATTATTATTATTGTAATTATAGTTTCGATTAAATATTAAAAGAATATAATTATTATAATTATAATATTTTAAAGAATCTTCGTATGATCTCTGTGTAATAATTTAATTTATAATATATGCATTTTAATAATCCCAACTATAACACCCAATACACAATCTTTTATTTTTATCTAGTTAAAGGTGATTATAAAATAATATATATTTTAAATATTCACAATAATTTGATAATAAACACTCAAATACTTTTACAATAATGCTCGAACCCGTGACAAACACCTAACACAATCTAAACGTTAATAAATTCAAAGATTAACTATAACACCTTGACCTAATAATAAAATTAACTATACTCTCTTTATTAATAAATAATATAAAATTTGAAGGATTTAAGAATAAATATTGATACATTAAGCTCAAAATTAATTATAATTTTAACATCCCTTTTTCACTCTAAATTGAGGAAAAAGTGTTTTTAATCATTTGTACAAATTCAATGTATAAGATTAGGGTTTGAGAAAGAAGGGATTATTGAGATTCAGATAATAAAAAATTGGGCAATCGATAGAAATTGGAAGGTGAAATAGTTCAACAAATTCCTTCAAGTAATAAGCTTTTTCAAGTCCGTAATTCATTCATCGTTCTCAATGTCGTTGTCGCCACCCAAAAAATCCCATGAACGAGGCTTTAGCCATGCTCTTTTTCAATGCGCAGACCTCATCCTTCCATGGCTAACCCCTCAAGAACTGGCTAATGTCTCCCTCACCTGCAAAACCCTTCACCAAATCGCTCACTCCATCACTCTCCATCGCTCCCTCGACGTTTCAAGATCCTTTGAAAACCTTCCCATTCCATTTCACAACACCGGCGATCAACATCCTTATGCCTACTTCATTTACACCGCTTCTCAAATAATCCTCTCTTCTTCTCCTTCTTTGAACCGCCAATTTTGGGGACCCAACTCGTCGCGAAGTCCGGTCCTGCCCTGGTCGGACTCGTCGGGTGCTGAAATGGGTTGTGCTCGTGACTCATTGATTCGACCCGGAGCGAGCTGGGTGAATATGGTGGACGAGTCAGGGTGTGAGTGTGAGAGGTGTGAGAAAGTGAGTGAAGACAATGTGATTGGGTGTGCGTGTATGGAGCTGGATGGGGATGAGGGGATGGGGATAATGAGCGAGTGTAGAACGAGTTGCGGCTGCGGTCTGGAGTGTGGGAATCGGCTGAGTCAGGGAGGAATACGAGTCAAGTTGAAGGTTGTGAGAGATTTAAGAAAAGGGTGGGGATTATATGCTGCTCAGTGGATCCAGCGAGGCCAGTTCGTCTGTGAGTATTCAGGTACTTCATCTCAACATCAACATTTAAACTTAACTTTTAGCTCCAAAATTTAATCTCTTGTTGAAACTGTTTTCATTGTTTACCCATTAGTATCTTTGTTGGATAAATTTAGTTTTTTTTACCAAGTTAATTGATGATCCATAAATGGTGGCTCTGGTTTATTGCAATATCAATTTCAGAATAATTACTGTGAAAGGGTATGATGAGTTAAAACAGTGCATAAGAAAATGAAATGAGCTGTGAACTTTGAAGATGTCTAAAGACAGCACCAACTCAAAATAATGATGCACGCTAGTTTAGACTCTAGCAATTAGCTTTCGCTTCATGTCTTCATGTGCAGCATCTTCAGTGAAATGGGGGCTCATCAGACTGATGTTTGCCTTGCATCAATTAATTTCTGCTTTTCGGTTGTTATCAACGAGTTTTGTTCACCTTAGTAACCCAGCTAGCTTTATGGTTCTCCTCTCACCCCGGTTTCCCATACTAGTCTGCTTCGTTTCACCAATGTGTAATTGTAAACTCGGCATTTTTAGCAAAATGAGGGCTGTCACTCCTTTCTGACCAACTGATGTTTTCCTTGCGCGGTGTACCAACTTATTTATGCTTTGATTTCCAGGCATCATAGTCGGGTAGTTTCACCTTAGCAATCCAGCTAACTTTGCATCTTAAGTGTTGTGGGGGCTGTCATTCCTTCCTGATGATCATCTGATGTTTCCCCTGTTTACGCAAGCTATTGGCTTCGTGCAGAAGATTGGTAATAACTTGGCATCTTTAGCAAAATGGGGGCTTTCATTTCTTGCTGATCGGACTGGTGTTCGGCTTGCATCAGCTTATTCCTTCCTTCTGGTTGTTTCCGATGTCTTCTACTTGCTTTTTTCCCCTTAGCAATCCATCTAGGTTTCTGGTTCTCCCTGTTCTCCCCTGTACTATTTTGCTCCATGTTGCCGATTGGTAACAACTTGGCATCTTTAACAATGTTTGTGTTGCATTACTCATTTCTGCTCTCTGGTTGCCGCGATCTTCTTGTTCTTTTGTTGTTTTTACTTGCTGTACAAGCTTCACTTGTCTTTTCTCCACCATATACTCAGCCATCTTAAAAGAGCACCCTTGTCTGGAAACATGCTGTCCGGAAAGAAAACGACTTGCGATATATCCTAGATCAAATTAATTGCGTCTGTTGTTCCTCATATGTGAACAAACGGTAAAAATTGTATGGAGACCGACCCTTAAATGCTGTTCAATTTGCAATCTGTTTATATAGGTGAGCTTTTAACAACCAAAGAAGCTAGGAGGAGGCAACGAATCTATGATGAACTTGCTTCAAACAGACGCTTTTCGTCCGCTCTTCTAGTTGTTAGAGAACATCTTCCATCTGGCAATGCTTGCTTGAGGATTAATATAGATGCCACGAGAGTTGGAAACATTGCTGGCTTCATTAACCACTCCTGTGACGGCGGTAACCTATCAACAGTACTCGTAAGAAGCTCAGGGGCGTTGGTGCCTCGTCTTTGTTTCTTCGCTTCAAAAGACATAAAAGGAGAGGAGCTCTGTTTTAGCTACGGCGAAATAAGGGTCCGGCCTACGGGGTTGAAATGTTTCTGCGGCAGCTCTAGTTGTTTCGGAACTATACCTTCGGAACATACTTGAAAGCCACCTCATCAACTGAAAGGCATTGCTCAGCAAGTGATTGGTAATGATCATAAAATGCTGACAAGCTGTTAGACCCCTTTCTCGAATCTCGAATCTCACTGTACATGAAGAACAATAATCTTTGATTTCGTTTTCAATATGTAACACGTTTAAAAGAGTTCGAATTACGGATATTGAAATTTTAATTTTAGTGCAAATGCTCGGATTATTTTGAAAGGCGTGCTCTTCTCAAATTACTTCTTTTTCTATTTATATACTTAAATGCTTCTATTTCTAATGTTATGAATACTATCATTTTAAGTGTATAGTTCATTACGACCGTTAAAAAATTTGTTATCTTACATGTGTTGTATTTATATTTTTAAAATATTTTATTTAAAAAACTTAATATTATATTTAAAAAATCATATTCTCTCTCAAATCTTAAAAAAATCTCAATTTTAAAAATTTTAATTTCAAATCCTTTTACCTATATCAGTTGTCACCCCCTTCGTCGTCGTTGCTCGACCTTTACCACTGCTATGGGTGATGGTTGTTCGGCCACTAGTTGTTTGCCCTTTTCCTTTTGTTGGTTGTTCGTCCTTTAAACGGATAACAACCAATAGCTACCCACGTTCGTGTAGGGTAAAACCAGGAATTTATTAAAGCAAGGTTAAATTATTTTTTATTTTTTATAAATATATTTTTTTAATTGAGAGGTTTGGTAAAATTTTCTTTATTTATTTTTATAAAAATATTTTATTTAAAAACAGTTATTTAAAAAAATGTAAATGTTAAAATTAAACGTGACACGTGTAAGGTAATAAATGGTTTTAACAGTCATTACGGTTAAGACATTTAAAATAGAAACGTTAAACACCTATATTAGTCCTAGAAAAATTTAGACATCTAAGTAAAAAAGATTTTTTTGTATTAAGCCTAATAAATAATAATCGGTACATGGCTTATTCAAATATGTAGAATGGAAAATCCATGGCTTATTCAATCTAATTTTAATATATTAAATTCATTTATTAATCAAATCGATGCAAAACTAATTCTTCTTAACAATTGGATTTAATCGATAAAAAGTCATTTTATATTTGTTTATAATGTGATTTGAATATCTAATTTTGCGTTTAGATACCGTAATACAGTTATGTAAAATTCTATTTTTTTATAAATATATTTAACTAACAAAATATAATTACATCATGTTTAAAAATATAAATTATAATTAAACAGTTATATTTTAATTTCTAAAATAATATTAATGGTTAATAAATCACCCTTCACCCCGAAAACATTCTCTAAATATTTAAGTTAGTACAATTTTTATCACATTGGGGATTCCATAAAAAGAAAATAGAAAAGTAATTTTATAAAAGGTTAATTATCGAAATAGTCACTTTTGTTTTAATTTTGTCCACTTTTGATCATTTCTTTTAAAAAGATATGTTTTGATCACTTACATTATCAACTCATTAAATTTTGGTCATTTATATTATCTATTGTTACATTTTGATCATCCGTTAATTCTTGTTAGTTTATGATGTGGCAGGTTAGTAAAAGGGATTTAAGTTTTAATTTGATTCCTAAACTTTAGTTAGAATATTAATTTAACCCTTAAACTTTAGAAAAACTATCATTTTGATCCTAAAATTTAGATAAAATACTAATCTTACCCTTTAATTCAATCAAAGTCTCACGTCGTCGACTGCCACTCACCATCGTCGCTATCGATCATCATTGGTCGCAGTCGTTGATAACCACTAAATCATAAAATCTTGAGTTCATTACTTTTTTGTCTTCCAAACATGAATTCAATGTCAGTTTCACATAAAAATATCCCAGACTTACAAATCTAACACATAACCTTTCGACTTACTTTAAAATTAAACATGATAATAAATTTATCATTAATGTCCCTCTTTAAAAAGAACTCCATACATTTAGATGTATATCATAATCAAATCCATATTGTTTTATAATAAGGTAAACAATACTGATGGTCCCTTATATTTTTGACCTATTCACTTTTGGTCATCGACCTTCTAAAAAGTGTGATTCTAGTCTCTTATGTCATCAGTTCAATACAATTTAATCACTCGATCGTTAACTCTCATTATTATAATAATGAATGTTTGACTTGATATTTAAAAATAAAATAAAAGCCACCTAAGGGATTTACAAGTCAGACCTAAACCCTCTACAACTAGAGCCGTCTCAGACATTTTCGGGACCCTGAGCGAGACTAAAAAATAAGCCCTTATAAAATGAAAGTATATTTTATTACTTCGAACAATTAATTTAAAATTACATTAATAAATCATAGAAAAAATGATTAAATTAGGGGCTTAAATTATAAAAGTTCAATTGAAAATGTAACACCCTCAGATCGATGCGGGTGACCCAATTTGATCCGAGGAGTCATATTAGGGTTACCGGAGCGACCCAGACTAAAAATCCTAAAAAATTTAAAAAAAATCTAATCCATTTAAAACTGTAAAATAATTTGTAGATAAAATACAAGTTCAGAAAATCATTTATATATTAAAAATAAAATTCTACAATATCCAGTATTAAAACAAGTTTCATACTCAAATATAAAAAAAATACAACCTTCATAACCCCTAATTACATACACCGTACTCCGCGCAAGCAACACCGATGGAACTCCTTTACTAATGTCGGTAAAAGCACATGATCAAATTCTTTAACCTGAAATGGTAATTAACATAGTGAGCTTTGGAAATCTCAGTAATACATAACTACCAGATGAATGCAATAGGTCATCGGGTATATGGTAAAGCATAAATTTCCTTAGCGAGACAGACATCATCAAATTCTAGTGGTGAATTCAGATTCCATTAGCTAAGACTTCAGTTATAAATAGGAATTTACGGTATGAAGGAAGTATTCAGAGAGACAGATTTAGAAGATTGGATTCAGGAATCTAGTGTGTTCTAACAAAACAGAGAAATGTCTACAGATCCTTTAAAAACATTTGTAGTTTAAAACATATTTTAAAACCATAGTAATATCTTCCAACCGAATACTGATATACAGTTTCTCAAAACCGCATCCATAAGAACTTACCCTAGGCCCATTAGGCATAGGTGCCAACCTAAGGGAATAACTACCTTAGGGCCTAAGAGCCTACCCAATAAAGTACCTTGCGGCCTTAGAGCCTACCCAAGAAAATTCCTTAGGGCCTCAGAGCCTACCCAAGGTCACCTTAGGTCCGTAGGGAATTACCAGCTTGATCAGAGTTGAACCTCCATACTCTAGAATCCTACCCAGACAGTATCCCAATAATTGCTTCATACAGTAAATAGTAGATTCTGTGATCCATAAATTAAGAACGATTATATTTTTCCAGTGAAAATAGGTAACCAGAGAGTACATATCATGCAGCCATAGTTCATAACTAGTAAATCAATACATCAGTAAATCAGAATATCGAACAGTTAAAAGATTCAGTAAATTAGTAACTTTGGTAAATCACATTTCAAAATATATAAAACAAACACATATCACATTTGGAGCAAACTAGAGGATCCAATTATTTTTCGGAGGTACTTGGTATTTATCATGTAGGGAACCACAAAACTTTTGTAAATTGATAAGATTTCAGAAATAAGATCCTATTAAAAAGGGTTCGATAGCTAATGGATTAATCAGTCATTCATAAAGAGATACATCATGATCATTTAGTATTCGGGTATATTTTAAGGGTGTTTAAGAACTATTTTATCAGAATTACTTAAGATTCAGATATTCCAGGGGTGATTCCATCAATCAGATTCACAAGGGCATTTCAATCATTTTAGATCTATGAGATGTTTGAGTATTTAACTCGATAAAAGTAAAACGATGATTTGCAATATTCCATATTTTTAACAAAATATCGGCTTCCGAGTCCAGTCAAGCTAAACATTTCTCATCATTGTAATACTTAGCAAGACTCTGATAGGAACACTTTACGGATATTGACTTCTTCTTTTTCTTTTTTTTCTTTTTATACTGATTGCACTATGTGACCGAAAAAATTCGTCTTCACAAATCTTAATTGAACAGATCCCGATGAGGCATAAATATATTCATGCGATAATTATTCTAACTCTTGAATCTTAACAGTAGCAATCATGGCTGATAAGCTTGGGTCGTACTTCAACCTTTAAGAGTGATATAATCTTTAATTTTATCAGTATTCCCAAAATTATCTAAAGATATTCCCTTATTCCAAGCTGTGAGGGTATTTAAATAATTTATAATCTCAAGGGTATATTAGTTATTATGGAGCTCAAGGGTACTTCGGTCATATCAGAGCTCGGAGTATTTTGATCCAGTTGAAGTTCATGGGTATTCTGGTCATTTTATTCAATCCAACATTTCCATTTAATTCACTAAATTCATTTATTTTTGTCATTTCGAATAACTCAGACATAAAAAGTACTTTCATGGTGTTAGTCTTTAAGTACTTGCTCAGAAATTGGTAATTCTAGGTTTTGAGCCTTTACGGAGGTTATGAACTGATTATCAATGATTCTCCAAATAAGTCATGAAATTAACGTGAATCATTAATTTTATCAGGACAAAAACTAATTATTATGTCAAATCCATTAACAAGAGCTATTCTATGTCATTTTTATATCTCAGGGACAATTTTCTAATTTCTTATCCGAGTATTTTTGGTACTACAACTTTTACTGGGGATAATCAAAATTTAAGGTTTATGTAATTAACTTCTACACTAACTAATCATTTGAACATAGAATTATTTATTACCAGACTTCTAATTTCTGATAGAGTCATCCGAGTCTTATTAGTTTACATACTTTTTACTATATTCATATCAAGTTTAGAGATGATTCACTACATACATGTGACAAAATATATTCATCAATGCATTAACCAATACCAACATGTTCCATAAAGCATGCAAAAGGTAGTAATATATTATCTCAATTTTTGAGCCATATTGGTTAACCAATTAAACTCTGTTTGATTGCCATCAAACTTTAATTCCATGTCCTATAATGTCTCAGATACATATCAACAAAAATTACATCAGAAATGGTGCTTAATTACAAAAAACAGATTGAATTGAAAGATTAAT